TCGCGCCAAAGAGGAAGAGGAGAGAAAGAGAACGAGGAAAGGATAAAAAGGGATGACACGGTTTTCATTTGATTTGCTTCGTTTGTCATTTTCCTCAGATCGGTGCGCTCTTTACGCGCGTTTATCAATTACCGCCTTCGATTAAGCAGCAGGAAAAATTAGACACTTTAATCACTCTCCTACAATCTTGTGTATGTATATGTGCGAGGGTGAATTATCCCCAGGACATGTAGTTAATTGCGAATGTCGTAAAAGGACCCCGCGCTAAAATCCTTTCTAATCCTCTCGGGGTGTGACCGGACATAGTGCTTTGGATGGTCCTGCTTGCTGAGAGCGAGAGAGTTCAAGCCGTTTCTACGGGATGCCACTAAATAATCCCCATGGTTGCAGCCGGGTGCATCCTATTTATACTAAATATCCGACTACAATCATCGACCATTTTAATAATTCACGCCAATCGCGCGTTCTCTGACCACCGTCCACCATCCATCACCGAAGCCCCAACGACCATCAATCTCGGACCAATTATATCGTGTTTATTATAATAAATCTTAATTGATTCGCAAAACCAATGCAATTCAATTCCGCTCGTTATTAGCAATCGGCTTGTTTCACTTTAACCAATCGCATTATCACCAGACAATTCTCATTAACATATATAATAAAACTAATTATCATTATTTGTATTAAACCTTGAATTAAGTACAATTTATTTGTAAAATTAACTCATTAAGAATTTATAAATCTTAACTCAAAAACTATAATTAATTGAATATTTCACTACTTTGTTTTATATTTTCATAGATAATCTATGTATTAATATGTTAAGTTGCAAAGAAATTATAAAATGAATTGATGAGAAATAAATATACTCTACTTGTTGAATATTTAACACCTCACAAAATAAGATCATAGAATGACATATAGATGGCGCCTCTATGCATATGATGTTCAGGAAGTACCAACCTTCAGACGACGTCTGTCAAATTATGATGGCAATCTGACGTATAGTTCACAAGTTACAGTGATTTTAGTCACGCTACTTTTGTAATTCTCAAAACAATGGAAAAATCTGAATTTCCTGTGCTGATAAAACATTGCTTTTTGATGGGAAAATGCCGTTCAAGCGAAGCAATGACTTGATTAGTTTTATGAAGATTTTCCTCCGTCGAGACAAATGGTAAAGAGTTAACTACAAATATTGTAATCGAATGTTTTCGAATGAAATTGAAAAGAAAATTTGTCGCACATTTTATCTTGTTTTCATGAAGAAATTTGATTTTTATTTATAAATGTTCTAATATTTATTATAACAAATTTTCTAATAATTAACAAAATTAGTCATCATTTCTATCTTCTCGAAATCTTATAAATATTATAAACTTTATTTCGAAATATTAATATTTATTTCGAAAAAATATCATTAACTAAAGCAGATTATCTTATTTTTACTTTATTGATGAGAAACTAATCCAAAAAAATAAAAATTCTGCCTAAATATGAATTACCAAAATTTTGAAATAAATATTCAAAATTATAAAAATAATCGAAATTTTAAATTGAGAATTATTAAAGACGACACACACATAATTTTTAAATGAACTTAGTTTTGAAAATCTGAAATCTCGAAATTTTCAATTGAAAACTCTTAAAGATGAAACAACCGACATTTCTAAAAGAAAAATTCTTTCAAATCTCTGCTAGTTTGAATATAAAAATAAAATTTTAAATTGAGAATTCTTAAAGACAATACAACCGTAATTTTCGAATAAACTAAGTTTCGAAGATCTGAAATTTCGGAGACAAAAACAAAATTTTAAATTGAAAATTCTTAAAGATAAAAAAAACCGACATTTTTAAAAGCACAATGATTTCAAATCTACTTTGTTGAATGCAATAATGAAGTTTTAAATTGAGAATTCATATTGAAGATCAAAAAGGAAATGAACAATTTAGTCATTCAAAATTGAAGACCCAAAGGAAATTCTTAATAAGTTTATAAATTAAAACACTGTAATATTTAAAATAGGAATTTAAATGGGAATTTTAAAATATGGAATTACCTGTGATTATAAACCAGCAACACCCTGTATATATTATCTATATGATTTATTCATTAAAAAGAGTGTATTAAATTGCTGTTTGGCAGTCTGGAAGTGTCGGAGCGTACGCGAAAAATATATATAGTATTTTCTACTCTCTCTCTCTCTGGTCCAGAACGTAAATTCTCGATATGCATGTATGTATATATATTCATATAAAATGTGTCGTATATTTTACAATGCATTCATTGATAGCAGGCGAGGGCCGCATAGCGATACAGCAGTAAACTAATTACATTACCATAATTTAGTTAATATGCAAATAGTGCCGAGCTTTTGACTTTTAAATATCGTTAGCGACAGCCTCGCACGCTGATACAAACGCACACATCCTCTACGCTTCTCTCACTCTGTAAAAATATACCTATCTCTCTCTCACTCATTCACTCGTGTATCCACCATATACACACACTCATCTGAAATTCCACCTGAAAATACTAATTTCACACGTATCGCACATTCACATGTACGCCATCCATACGTACACACACAATTTCGCGCAGTTCAGGTATGCCTGATATCCGAACAGTTATTCCGTTCATTGCTGGACGCATTTATTCCGCGATTAATAATTTAGTTAAAAAAAACAACCTTTGGCGGTACGAATATTGCAAGTATCAAAGAGAATTAAATATATAGTTGTATGAACGGAAACATCATCAACTTAATTAAATAGGATATGTTTATCAATTACATTGGATCAACTGAATTATTGATCCTCTCGAATTCAAAACATTTTTTGTTTGTTTCAAATATGCTTAACTCTTAAATAATGTATCGGCAAGAAAATACCATTTTGTCCGATGACCTTTTACCATCTTTCTAGCAACTTCATGATTCTGGAAAAACTGAATCAATGCTATTTCAGGTCTTAATAATTACTGAAAGTTTTACCATTCAAAGAGTTTTGTAAACTGGTAATCCGATGGTACAAGGTCAGAGATATATTCGGGATACAAGATCACTTCCCAAACAAGTTCCAATCATTAGTCACGAGTTACGAGTGTGAGGTTTTGTATGTTTTGGCGAAACAGGATTTGCCAATTCAGGTTTCATTAATTGTTGACAGTAAACATCTGAATTGATCATTTGGATTCATCTCAAAACACTTATAATCTCACAAAACTATCTTGATGCAATTCAGCTATCGATGTGGTTTGTGCTTGATCATTTTCGATTGGTATTATTATAGACGATCCATTGATTCTTAACGAGCACAAGACATTTCAGCAATTTTCAGTTGTGTGTTTTAATTCTTTGGGGGAATAGAAATTCCTAAATTTCTGGACCCAACAAATTTTTAGACGACTGAATCAGACTTCGGCTTATCAAGATTCATGCTTTGACATTCCAACTAAATTAAAGGATAATTCCTCTTTCCTGAACATTTCCTAGAAAATTTTAATAATTCCTCATTCAATCATGACTTTGATTTGATCATCAAACTTAAGTAGATCGACCAGAACGTTGATCCGTCCAAACCGGATTTTTTAACCAATTTTAACAAGTGCAATATGTTAAATTGTCAACATCGTAAACTTCACGTCTCAGTAGATTTCTTGCCTTTATGGAAATATTTTATTCACAATCTGTTCATTAATGTAAACATTGAATAAATTTAAGATCGCGGTTGACATTAAATGGATAATCTTTCCCGGTGGATAGTTACCATTATGATGATTTGATTTTAATTTTTTGGTTGGCTGTCGTCTTGTAGGGTAACTTCAGTAGTATATTGATGATCTGCGATTCCACTATTTCCTTTGACCGTGAATTTGCTGCTGTTCTTAACACTGTTATTGTCCATCGGCTTGCCTGAAGGTCCTTATGCTGAACCTCATTCATTTGACGGAGAGAACTCACAAAGGGCCTGGCTTGACCAGAATTCGAACCGGCGCCCACGAAATCGTGGGTAGGACGACATAACCATTCGACTATTAGTGTTCGATTTTGCACTCCTGTTAATTTTAGCTCTAAACGACTGCAAACAAAATTTCACGCAACTGGCTTCTAAAACAATCTGAAAGTGACATCTTTCAAATGACAAAAGGAAAAAATCGAAATTAAAAAACCTGCCATTCCAAATAAATTGAGTGAAAATTCGGAATATTATATTATTAAAAAAAATTAGTATTGATATTAATAATTAAAGATAATCACATTTATTTTATCATATCTATTTTTAAATTCCAAACATGTTTATTAATATTGATTTTTCTTGAAATCAAGAAATTGTATTTTATCGGGAATTTTTGAGAGGAAAACTCAAACAAACGAGATGAATGATGCGCTTTAATAAAAAGCGTATACGAACATGCACTATTACATATTATTTATGCATGTAAAATATTTTACAACTTCGTAGCAAGTTTGCGAACCGCGAACATAAATTCATCTCTTTTTTTTGTTAGAAAAAAACGTTACGTTCGTTTAACATGTTAATCATCGATATGGACCAATTTTATTTATTTTTTTGCGTGCACGAGAAAGTTTAGCAAAACACTGCGGCAATCGTACGATGCGACATTGATTTGAAAAGTTCGAGATGCAACTTTCCTCAATGTATGGCGGCATTCCTGAAAGCGGAGATCGTCGCTTGAAATATAAAATACCGTCGTATTTACTTGTAATACAATGTCTTATATAGTCCGGATAATCGCCAATATTCCGGACTAATCGAGGATACCGGAATAAAAGAGATTTGACTTTATAAAGTGAAAAAAAAAGATTAATACACAATAAATTGTATACTATTTTTTTGCTCAATTAAGTTTGTTTTGAAATGTTCAAACCGTACTATAGTGAATCAGGACTATACGATGTATTTTTTTTATTTTTTTTAATGTTCAGATTACGAAATGTAATGTTTTTTAATATTGATGGTGATTGTGTTTTCAGATGGTTAGCGGCGTCGTGTGGCGCTTCGGGTTGGCCCTAATTTTGGTCCACGTGGCTGCATTAACCATGATAGCATCGCCACCCTCCTGTCCACCTGAGTGTATTTGCTTATCACAAACGCAGGTAAAAACAAACCAAATCCCCAAACCCTCACCATACATAGGTATATACAAATACACACAATACAGCGGTCTTATCTGCACATGTCCGCATTGCTCTGCCGTACTGGACTATGTGTGAATACGATTCTGTCCCGTGATGAATTTTAATGAACCCTGAAATTCGTAGATTAGTAACCTACAAACATAGTTTCCACTCTTTTTTTGCAACTGCTAGAACAGTGCAACGAAAACGCTTTAATAATGCAGATGCATGCATAATGGTCGAGTTATATGTGCGCAGTTTGAAACTTTAATTAGTGAATATTTAAGCATTATTAATACACCAAAATTATGATATTATATATACATACAAATATTTTGCATTTTAGTGCAGTAGTTTAGTGGACAACATTTGCCGCTTTGAAGTATTTAAATTTCTAAATATGAGTCAAAACAAAGCAAATATGATCAGTAGTACCAACAGTATATTCTTTATTTTATCTGTTATATAACAAAATATTGATATCTCTTGAAATATAGCGAACGAACATCAGATTTTATCTTTTCTATGTAAATGTATTTAATTGATGATATTATACAGTGGTATTATACATATGAGTTTAATTCGTTCCGTAACCTTGCTCGTATGTCAAATTGCTCGTATCTCAAAGCAAAATATCGCGGCTCGTATCTCTAAACACTCGTATATTAGGGAACTCGTATATCGAGGTACCACTGTACATTATAGATTATGTAATTTTTTATTTTTTTCTTAATAATGCCATATTCTTGTTACATCATAAACTATTTGTATTTACACAAGTAATTGTAATAAGTTAGATATATTAATTATTAATTTGGGTATATAAACATAAATAATGAAAAGATATACCGTTATTAATAATTTGGGTATATAAACATAAATAATGAAAAGATATAACGTTATTAATAAACTTGAAATTGATAAATTAGTTTAATATTAGAACTTTTGCATTAATTATAAACTCAGTTTTTTGGGTTCATATATAGTTTGAAACATTGGAATATTTGTAGCATTCGTAAATTTGTACACAACGAGTACATGTGCAGAAAAAAATCACACTCTTAGTGAAAGTAGTAATATAAAAATATGTGGCGCAAATTCAGTGGATTGAGTATGCGAATCCGAAAATGTATTGAAAATCAACCTGAGTTTTGACTTTTTTATTAAAAAATGTTAGTTTTATAGAAGAAAATTCACATTCACAGTTAAAGTAGTGATTGAGGCAAAGTTAGTGGATTTAGTATATAAATATTGCAGTTTGTTTTTGTATCATTATGTTTCGAATCAAGCTATAATTATTAATGGAATGTTTCCATTAATTAGGCTAAAATTGCATCTGCGGATGAATCATCTTCTGTTGTACTGGAAGAAAAGTCATAGTGATAATGAGGTAAAATCTTCGCTCACTGCAAGTTTACTACAACCTGCGAATTGGAAAATCTTTTTTTACATTTGATTCTCTTTTCAAGTGAATTAATATCATACATTTTTTTTTGATTAATTATACTTATTTAGGTCTTACGATTCTTCATATGCACTATATAATTTTATACGATTTTTTTACATGGCTTATTTAACAATCAATCTACTGTATAGACATATTGAATGCATCAATTACAGTATTTCTCTTAGTTTATAGAAAATTATAATATTGATGAGTTAGAAATATGAATAAATGATATTTAAAAACTGTTATGGTAGTATGCGAAATTTTTAGATAAATGTGACAGAGCATCAGATTGGTAATAAACTATTGACAGCTGTACCTAATTTTTCCATTAGGTAATATACAATTCGACGGTTATTTTACGCGGTCGGTCGCGTAGGAAATCTGTGCAATTTAATACCCCACTCGCCCCCATTCATCTATTTCACTATGTTTTCCATTTTTTGTACTCTCTCTTTTCCTCCTCTACCATACATACACACACATCCTTGTTCCCTCATTTTTTTTTTAACTATTTTCGCTGCAGCAGGCAAAACTGACGTTCAATTAAAAATTATTGCCGCGCATTTATTTCGAGTCACAATCGCTTCGGCAATTACATTTCAACAGAAACACATTCGAGTGGAAATTGCTGGAGCATTCCTCTTGTTCGTTGGGCGGCAGAGAAACACTATCCCCTTCCTCACCGGACCCCTCGCGCCACCAACCAGAAACGGATTTTTATTACTGTTTTCTATGATTCTGCAATTAAAAGTTGGTGGCTGGCTGGACGCATTATATTTCATTATTATTGCTATGCCCGTGCGGCTTTTGTTATCCCTCCACTTGTAATCGATATGATTTGTCGACCGGTCTTTCTTCTCTTTCGTGCTGTTGCTGTTGTTTTCTCTTCGGATATCGCGCAACATAAGTTGGCGCAAATAAATAGGCGACGTTGCCCGATCATCTCCCGCGAACTACAAACTAAACATTATAAGCACGTACCACCGGGTAAAAATAAAGCACGAGTGGGATTTTACCCCCCAAGTCCTGCAAAAGTTCCGCAACTCACATATCTCGCAATATAAGTTAGCGTCGGCCCATTTGCATATCCAGATAATGGATACACACACACACATACACACACACCCACACTTTGGTCCTGCTCAGAGCCACCCCATCTTCTTTTCCTTCCTTTCTTCCCTTATTTTTCCTTTTTGTACGTCCCTTTTTTCTGCTTTGCCAGTAATGCTTCCGCAGCCGCAAGCTCTTTTCGCACAGATTGCAATCTTAATGAGAACATTTTTAATTTCACACGCACCCTCCGTCACATGAAAAGATGTCTCTAATTGTACACCATAAATTTCGCTTCTTTCTTTTTCCACCGCACTTTGCACAAAATCTGCTCTCAATTCAAATCAATTTACTCATCTTTGAAATCACTCATTTTTATATAATATAGTTATGTAATTGCAACAGTTAACTTTTTCTTTTGTTGTTAATATCTTTATATAAGTAATACTACTACAAAATACATATTTTTTATATTTTCATATTTAATGTTAACCATAATACAATCAATATCATTAAAAATGAATAATTATGAAAGTATTGACTGAAAACTATGATTGATTATGAATCATTGTGAAAGAAGATCTTTTTAACAAATTATTATTATGGTTATTAAATATGAAAATATAAAAAATATGAATTTTATAGTAGTATTACTTATATAAAAATAATAACAACAAAAGAAAAAGTTAACTGTTGCAATTACATGTCACTAGAATAATTTATTTGTGATAATTACAAAGACGAAGTTCACTGTTAAAGCAGTAAGAAATTTCAGGAAAATCATGCTATGAATTTATAATTTAATATTTGTAGGAGTGAACCTTATAGATTATTTATTTGTGTTAGTTAAAATACATTTATATGAGATAATGGATAAAGCAATCAGCTGAAGTTATGTAAAAATTAATGGTTTTGAAATTATCAATAAATATAAAATAATATAAACTTTTTCAATATTTTATAAATTGCTTTTAAAAAAAAGTTGATTGTTACTGTATTGGAATATATGAAAATGGGGTTATAAGAGTGGATCAGTGAGTAAATAAAAGTAGTTTGGATGGGTTTCAAAAAGTCTATTGAACGATAAGAACTGCTAGAGATTAATGATGCGCTGGTGTGAGCGGATAAAAATAAAAAGTAAAATAGTTGGAGATGCATTCACACATTGCACAATTTTTATTTCTTTACATCGAGCTGAATTCCGAGCTGTTTGAATAGAATGCGCGCGTATTGGAGCTCCCTCGATTGATGAATTATTGAAAAAGAAAGTAGCGCGCGCGAGGATAAAATAAATTTGGCGCATATTGAGCAAGGGAGGATAAGGCATATGTAAAAGAGTTTGAATGGGATGAACGAGAATGTGTAAGTGAGTGTGTGTGTGAGTAGAGCCGTGGAGGATTTAAAGATATAAATGGAGGAGGTTCTGGGATCTTGTGTATTTGTGAGTGATATGCATGTTAAGTCTAATCCTTTACTTGTTGGCAGGTGCTGTGCAACTCAGGAGGATTGCGGGAAATACCGGTAAAGCTGCTGCCAGCGACGGTGGAACACTTGTCTCTAACCAGAAACCACTTCCCGGTGATAAGGAGCGACGCCTTCTCCGGTCTCAGGGCGCTGAAAAAGCTCTCGCTGGATGGCAACAACATATCAATCATAAAGCCGTTCGCGTTCAGGGGTTTGCCCCGTCTAAAGGAGATCTCCATTCAGCAGACGACTTTGGCGACTGTGGCGCAGTTCTCGTTCGCCGGTCTTCAAAATATCTCGGCTATTTACCTGAGCCACAACAGAATCAAGAAGGTGGAAGGGTATGCGTTCGCCGGGACGACGAACCTCAAATTGCTCGTGCTCAGCAACAATCCAATAGTGAAGATCGAATCGAATGCCTTCAGCGGTTTATCCATTGTCGAGAGGTTGACATTTCCTTCAGGGGTTAGACTGTTGGAGCCTGATTGTTTCAACGGTCTCGACACCGTCGGGTATCTGAAACTGGCGTACATGGACTTGCCGTTCGTTGGTAACGGCACGTTCAGAGGGCTGACCAATGTTGGGGTGCTGTCTATACAGGAATCCGATCTGGGCGTCATCCGGCCCGGCGCCTTCGAGGGTTTAACGTTCATAAACAACTTGAACTTTCTCAACAACAAGATAGACTCTATACAGGAAATGATGTTCGGCCCGGAGCAGCGCATACGGAACGTGAAATTTCAGGGGAACCACATTTTGGACATACCCAAAATCGATTCCATCTACTTCGCTGTGAACAAATTAACGGTGATAGCGAATCACTTCCCGTGCGACTGCCACATACACGCCCTCCTCGAAGGTCCTCTCACCAACGACAGCGTCTATGAGTTCACCGCAAGGAACTTCTGCATATCCCCGTTGGAATACAACGGTCGACCCATGAACGAGCTCGACTTCGACTCGATCGGAAGGTGCCAGGAGGAGGTGACACGCAGCAACCTCGAATCCAGAGACTTACCATCCAACACTTCCAAGAACAATTACTCAGTGCTCATCGTTACTCTAACCATAACAACTCTAGCATGGACACGAATTCAACTCGGTTTAGTTTAATCACCATTAAATTGAATAATCTATCCATACTAAAACTATCTCTCTATATCCATATGATATTCCCCAGCCGACCCGATACGCATTTATCATGCATGTGGTTCAGTGCGGCCGACAATTTTAAACTACCGGTTATGTAAAACGCGCATACATCCCATCGAGTTTGAACGCCGATTCCAACAATTATTCCACCACAAAAATAATTAGGGGTGGGAAGAAAAAAAAAGCAAACAACATCATAATAAATGTGCGGCGAGCCGAAATAACGCGAAAACTATTAAATCGAAACCGCAAATGCATTTAAAAAAAACGTGCCGCCAATAAATGCGCTGCAGAAATTTCACGAATTCCACGTGGCTGCGAGTGAGTTCCACCTAATTTTACAATTAATTAACGCGGATCGTCCGAAAAAAAAAACCGCGCGGCTAATTGCATCGGATCTCGTTGCACTTCAGCCTGATTATTTTAATTAGTTGCAATTTGGTGACCTCATAAATTAAACAAATTAATTAATTAATTTGTTATATTGTACAATTTACCCGCAACCGCCGTACACTCATTTAACTCAGTCACGAAAGAATTTATTTATTATTACAAAAGCTTTGAATATACACAATTATTTACTCCTGAATTAACATTATTGTAATTACATTATTAATTACACAAAGATGATTAACAAATAATTTGTGATTTTACAGACCATCAATACAATTGAAATAAAAAAAAAATCAATTAATTTTTATAGCATGCAAAAAATAATTATAAAATGATTTGATGTGTTGAAAAAACTCATTCATCTAAAATTTATTTTCAGTATTGAAATTTTTCAGGTTTGGAAGTTAATGGAAATTTAATCTAAATCAGGTGAATAATAATATAAATTTGATGTAAATTTTCAAATCTTAAATACGGAAAACGTTTAATAACAACAACTGCCAATTGCACAAAAATTGCACAATGCATACATTTGTCTTCAAATCACTGAAAAACTTATATAATGTTAAATTAAATTAAACTCATTTAATTCAAACAGTCAATATATTTGGCGCTCAACGTGGGGCAATCAAAAGAGCAACAAAAAAAAGTGTAATCTGAAATGATAACATCAAATGCATTCGTTTTGGGAATACTGGCGAATTAAACGCGGTCCAATTAAAACTTCAATTCTCATGGAAAACGGCCATCGCCATGTAGATAATGCGCGCGCGCCGTCCTACCATTATATAACAATAAATCTGCGACGCGTTTGTATAAACTATACCGTTAATTATTGTCAGTAGTGGAATTCAGGCGATGCGCTCGAAATATGTTTTGATAATTCGATGCAACGCGAATATGATTTGATTTGTTCTGGCCATTTGATCGATCTGCTTCTATGCAGACGAATATAGAATGCACCTTGTTGCAAGCGGTTTGCAAGCGAGTTTGCAATTTATTTGAACGAGAATGAAACGGCGTGTCAATTGCTAGGAACCATAAAATGGCTTAAAAATCGATCGCACAAATTATGTATGCAAAGTACATACGTGTATACAACACTATCAAACAACGCTGTTTTATACATGAAATGAATCGTCTGCTTCATCTACAGATATTCCAGTATTCTTTTGATTGCTTTGAAATGATAAAGCACTGATTTTGTTCAAAACTATTTGCTTTTCATTCATAACATTATAATAATCAATCTTTGATTTAGTTTTAACTCTTTCAAACATGAATATTATTTCTTAAAACATTAATAGCTAATATATTATAATTATATCAATTAAAAAAAATATTTCTTTTATAGCATCAATTTCTGTGATATTTTTACTAATCGATATGATTAATTCTGTTTGAAGACAAAATAAATGTGGTTTTATAATTTATCTCAATAATTGGATTTAGTATGCCAATGAAAAACTGTATAATCAATACTTTTTGTTACGTTAAATTAAAAATATATTAAATTTTAGCGTTACTTTTATTAAAAAAGTTGGAAAATTTAGAGAAATAATTATATAATTAAATTTAATTAAAATTATTAAGTTTACAAATATTTTTAATACTTTCAAATCACATTCTAGAATTTGTTAATAGTTGATCTACATTATTTTATTGGAGATGTTAAAATTTAGTAGTATTTAAGGAAATTAATTAAATCCAAATTTAAACATTTTATGTTTAGGAAAAATACTGATTTAATATTTTATCTTTAAATAATTACAATTTTTTGATTGATGAAGATGTGTTGGAGAACATTTGCAAAACAGTACTGATCGTGTGTAATTTTTTGCTTTAATTGGTATGTTTGAAAAGTAGCAAAGTCTAAATTAATGATGGCTTGTGAGCGCGTGTTGGAATACCGAAGGGCTTTGTTGGTCCATGTTTCAGTGATCGTTTGAAATGCGCCGGTTGCCGTGTGAAATGTTTGCAGAAAAAATTAGGTGGAGCTGCTATTTAAAGGCACAAAGGGAGAGCGCAAATAGGGCCGAAAGAAAAACGCGGTTCGTACGAAACACGGCATTGTATCATGGCGGAATCAATTGAAGCGGAGCGGCGGGAAAATACAAATTGTACCGGCCAATTATGCTTTTAATTATTTTACTTAATACAGAAGCAATTTGCAATCAATTCCGGAACGGCTGAATAATTTACCGCCTTTCGCATTCGAAACGTTACATTAATATTGCAAAGAATCGATGCGCGAATCGCGCGCCCAAATCCGCATTAGTTTTCCACGCACTCCAAAATTATTTAACGAATAGAAACAGAGAGAAAATCTATATAAAATATAAAAAAATTAACAACGAAATGGCATTTGTTTGACGTAAAAAGTTGTCAAATTTCCTATTATTTATTGAAAAGTCAATCATTTTTTGGCGCGTTCATAACTCTTGCATGGTTTTGCATTAGCTGAATGGATTGTTGCGGGTTTTCGTGTATAAACTAAAAACAAGCTAACCCCATTTTTTTTTGTTTCTCTACAAAAAATTGTAAATAACGACCGAATGAGGCGGCCCACTGTTATATAAACTCGTCGCTGTTGCATAAGATGTCTCGTTTTGTGCATTTTTGGGAGTGCAAGAATATACGGAGGAAATGTAAATAAGCCAATGCTTGAGATGTTTGTGCGAAACTAGGGAAAACAGTGAAGATATGTATACGAATTACCGTTAATATAAATAAGTTAATTGGAAACGAAGTAAGAGGCAGCGTAAGATAAGGATTTAATGAAAACGTAAAAAAAGATTAAATTAATTAAATGGGAATAATATAAATATATAAATGAATGTAAACAGTGCCTAATTAAATGAGAATTATTGTACATAAACTTTTTTGTAAATAATGTAATTTATAAGTGACATCTCATCCATGTGTTCCGTTTGTTGTACATTAAAAAAAATAATATTTAAAATAGTCGCATTCATTATCTGTGTTTGTTTTTATTCATTGCATCCTCCTCAAACATCGTTTTGTTCGTTTTTAAAAGAATTTAACATGTAACGTTAATGTCGATGTATTCAAAATTTATTCCTAAACATGTCAATATTTCGTAACAAAAAAAAAATAAAATTTAAAATAATTTTTATGAAAAAATAAGTGTTTTAATATTATCTATTTCAGATTTAAACTCAATTTAAATATCCGGTAAGTACATTACTTCTTTCAAAATTCACACATTTTCTTTTTCAATCACATGTAATTAATTTATACACTGTATTTCAAAAGTTAATATTTAGAAATATTTCAAATTTATTTAATAAGTTAAATTGTATCACTTCAAATGTACATTAATATTTTTTTTTGTTTATCGTCTAAAATTTTGTATTGAGACTCGAACTATATGACTGTTTGTTAAAGACTGAATGGGAAATAATGATGGTTCTGTAATTCATGGGGGCAATATTACATCAATGCTCGTTAAAAGTCGCGTAAATTTGGTTTAAACCCGTCACGCGCGTAATTAAAAAGTACGAGTTAAAAGAGTCACTAAAATAGAAATCGCATTATCCAAAATGTTTGTATTGAACATAAAAAGTACGTAATTTTTGTCTAAAATTAATGTAATAAATACAAAAAATTACAAATTTTCTTTTTATTTATTTAAATCATTTAATTTCAATTTTTTAACAAATTTGTCAAACAATTATGTCTGACTTAACATAGAAATTTAAAACTTTTTTATTAAATTTATTTAATTGATATAACAATATCTCATTTAGTCAAGCTTATTCGAATGCTTCATGGCAAAAAGATCTATTATCAATAGTTTTTTACTTTAGTTAACTTTTTGTTTTATTGTAATTGATATTTATTGAAAAGATTCTTAAATATTATTATTAGTATTTTGACTGTTTCAAACAATACTAATTCAATTTTTTAATAAATTTGTTGAACAACTTTAGTAATTATTTATAACTTAACTAATAAACTTAAAACGTTTTTATTAAATTTATTTATTTGATATGACAATATCTCACTTAGTCAAAATAATCGCACTTTTGCTGTTAATTTTTTGTTTTATTATATTTGTTATTGTATGAAAAAGTTTTTAAATATTCTTATTAGTATTCGTACCGTTTCAAACCAGAGTATTCGTACCGTTTCAAACCAGACTATTTTTTTTTAATTGTAGTACACCTTTAGCAATGTCCTTGATTATTTCTAACTTAACTGAGATACTTGAAACGTTTTTATAAAATTTATTTATTTGATATGATAATATCTTGTTTTGTACTGTTTCTACTAAGTACTAATCGTACTGTTTTATGGTAGGAAGACCTATGGTCAATAAACTTTTCCAGTAGTTAACTTTTTGTTTAATTATAATTGTTATTGTATAAAAAGGTTTTAATGTTTTAAACCGGACTAATCGAGAAACTAAAAATATACAAAAATAAACAGCATAGAAAGGAGAAAAAAACGATTATTTAAAAAATAATTTTGTGTAGAAATTATTTACAATTCATTGCTCAATTAAAATGTTTATTTTTTTAAATGTTAAACCGGACTGTAGTGAATCCGGACTAATAGAAGTCAGACTATATCTTTGAAAATTACCAATTGTTTTTATACATGAAACTTTTTATTGAGATTTTTTTTTGTATTGAGATTTTATTATGAAAATTTGATGAAAACTTCTTATTGCATGCTCACGTCATTAACTCTAAATATTGTTTTTCTTTCATTTTTTACATACTTTTCGCTTTGGAGCATTGATTTAATCAAAATTCAATGTTTTAATGGGTTTTCGTGTAGATCGCAATGGATAAAATTGGCTGGAGACACGGAACCTGACGGGAATAAAAGGGATACGGA